TTACATTTACTTTCGCTCTTCATAATAATTCATTTCGTCCGATTCAAATTCAGAAATCACTAGGACGAAATGTTATGCAGGTAGCGCTGCGGAGAGCTTCGCGAACGCGCACGAGGGAAATAGTAGTGGGGATCGAAATACGGGCGAAAAACAGGGGAAGCGAGCGTCGTGGGTAAAAATATCTCAACGCTGGTCCAGAGCTGTACTGTTTTACAAACGTTCCCGAAACGCAGCACGTCTCGAGATTTTTAGACGTTGCCGTCGTTATCGGGCTGCCCGTATACCTTACAAAGTTCTTCACGTTTCCGGCTGGCATTTACCATACTCGTACAATGTCTTACCATCTTATCCTACACTGTACTGGTACGGAACATTGTAAGAGCCTACAGTACTCACTTTTTGATAACGAAGAGAAGAACGAGGAACACGCTGACCATTAAAGCCGCTATTATTGGTCCGACCACCCATACCATTCCCGGTTCCTGACCGCTGGTTTTCACTGAAACCTCGGGGTTTCCATCCACAGGAGTGTTCGGATTGGGTCGTCGGGGTGGCTCGCCGGGAGGTACTTCTCTCATGTCGAGGGACAAATATTCAGAGAAGGGCGAGGAAGTGTATAAATGCTGTACAGAAAGTCAAGAAATGTTTAATTAATATTTTCGTCTATTCCTAGAAACGTCTTTCACGCTTACTTTTCTCGGTGTATCGACGACGGCACGCACGAAAATCCTGTATCGTTTCCCCTTCTCCAATTTTCGATTTTCATAGCCCTCGTATATGTCCCCGCTCCCAAGATGAAAAGTGTATGGGATGTCTCTCTGTGGAAATTTAGCGGCAATGTAAGGCGCATTGTCCCTGTCTTTCGCGCCCTTGCCAGTTATCATGTCTTCCGTTAACTCGTCCGGTTGCTTGTCGGCCGAGGATTCGTCCTCGGGTACCACGATCAGATAATAGTGCGAGATCGGCCCATATTCCTCGGAGGCCTGAGGTAAAATCACTTGAATCTCCTCGCCGTTCACCACACCGTAAAAATCTGGCTTCACCATAGGCTTCGGAGCAGCCATTTGCGTAGTGATCGTGATTTTAGCCGGCGGTTTATACTGACCGTCCCGCGGAATGGCGCTCACGTTTACGTTGTACGTGGTGAACGGTTGAAGCTCGTTTATAGTAGTGCTTGTTACAGTAGGATCCAGCAGAATCTCTCGGCGAGGTATCACCTGAGTCTGAGTAATACCCTGCGAATCTACGAACTCCTTCACCGCATCGAACGAGACTTTATAATTCTGGGGGTTGAGCCTTATAGGCGGTTTCCAGGAGAGAGTCATCGAATGAGTCGATGAGTCCGGTGCCCTCAAGTCTAAAGGCACGTCTTCCGGTTTCACCTGGACCGTCACTTTCTCGCTGAGCCTCCCCAGACCAGTCTTGTACCTCGCGGCAACCGTGATCGCGTACTGCGTGAACTTCTCCAGGCTCACCAGGTCCGCTGATTCGGTCAAGCCGACGGTCTTCTGTTTCCACTCGTCCAAATCTTCCACCGCGGTCGTCGTGTAAAATATCTGGTAGCCGACGATCTTCCCGCGATTGGGCACCGGATCCCACCAGACTTCCACGCTCGTGTCAGACGTGGCCACTGCTTTTACGAACATTGGCGCGCGACCGATATCTTTTTCCGTCATGATCGTGATCTTCTCCGAATACGGCCCACTGCCCATAGACGTGTGCGCTCTCACGTGAAACACGTATTCTGTGTTTTCCTCTAGATTCGTGAAAACGGCCCTCGTCTTCGTCGTGTTTCTGTCGATGGTGGTCGAGTGGTCGTTCTTCTTATTGAACTGCACGTCGTAACTGATTATCTGTCCGTTCCTGTGTTTCCGCATAGGCGGATCCCACGTCACGCAGACCGTGTCAGGCGTTTGGAAAAAGTATGATAAATTCGTGGGTGGGCCGGTGGGCTCCCCCTCGGGACTGAACCAATACCGAATAGTCTCCTGTCCGAAACCTATCGAATTCTGTCCGGCGATCCTGAACTCGTAATCCACTCCGCGTTCCTCTGCGATGCAGATTTAATCTGTATCTCACGAGAGAAAAAAGAGAGAAGTTGACAAACTTACTGAAATCGGAGATCTTGTAAGTGCGCTGCTCAGTTCCTTGAATGAACTGCTCCTTGAGCACTTGGTTTCTGATGCCGTATCTGATCCTGTAGCCTAACAGGTCGCCGTGCGTCTGCGACGGCTGCGACCATTCGAGTTCGACCACGTCGGGGTCTTTGGACAGCACTCTGAAAACGAGGGCGTTCTTCAGAGAACCGTACCTGGGAAAAGGGCGGAGGAGTTGGGTGATACCCGAGCAACGTACTTCACGTTAACGTCCGGCTTGTTGGGCACGCCACCGGGAGTTCTGACGTGAACAGGAGTCGAACGATCGCCGTCACCCTTTCTCGTTAGAGCGGCCACTTGCACCGAGTACCTCGTGTCAGGTTGCAACCCGGTAATGTTCACTTCCAGCACGCCGTCTTCCTGCACGTCGCGTCGTATCGGCTCATTCAACAGATCCTTCCCCTAAACAGGACGCAACGTGAGCGCGGAATTCGTTAGGCGAACTCGTTTCGTTGGACTGACCTCTTCTCTGACCTCCTGCACGTGTATCTGGTAGCCCCTTATCACGCCGTTCTGATCTTTCGATTTCGGCGGTTTCCATTCGACGTGCACCGCGGTCGAATTGATCGGCGTCGCTTTCACGTCTTGGGGATCACCCGGAACTGGAACGCAACGCTCAGTTAATTTGCGCGCTTCACGCTCGACGCGTCACACGCACAGTCGCACGGTCACGTACACATCGGCGCATTCACACGTAAAATAAATGGGGGCGGGGGATCAAATAATATTCGTAAGAGAAATCTGAAATGAAAACGCTACGACTCGTGGTGTTAACCCAACGAAAAATGATCTGAACCGTCTCGTGCTTGGTCGAAACCGACATAATTCAAACTTTTGTCTCTGTTTAAGGATGTATTGGCTATACAGTCAATCCCAAAAGTTTATGCACTTTAGAAACGCATTTTTTAAAAAGAAATCAGACGTCGGAAGAACATTGCTAATAA